CTTTGTTGTCCTACAGGGGGACAAACATGACAGTCAGGAGAATTAGACACAAAAGTAACTGGCAGACTCAGCACCCAGCTTAGTTAAACACAGAGCACGATTCTCCCCACTTTATGCAAATCCCAAGAAGCCAGTAAACCACAGCCTGGCAGGCTAAGGAAAAGCTGTAGGCCCCTGCATGTGCAGGGGGGTCGGACTAGATGACCTCTAGAGGTCCCTTCCAACCTTAAGTATTCTATGATTCTATGATTCTATATCAATGGTTCAACCAGCTGACTCTCTCTAACACCAGGGACCAAGTAACCCATTTCCCATGACTTACATGGTTGCGTTGGTGGATTTGCCACCAATGGATTCATAGACTGGAATGGAGAATGGGCCATAGTTCGTCCAGTTAGCAAAGAAGATCAACGTCACGCAAAAGAAGGGGACACCTGGGTATCAAGAACAGAATGAAGCAGCAGCCATCATCCCCTGGTCCTCAGACCTACTGGAAGGACTTCACTGTCCTTTTTCCTTGCACAGAGCATGAAATGGCGTCCTCTCTCCTCGGGTTAATCAAGGATAGAGCACACAACATGGATGCCTAGACAGGAGTGAGCTGTGCTGCATAGGCCACAGCTGGTGGGTCTCCCAGAGGAAGGGACTTTTAGGCCACAAAAGACCATGTGATCTTGCTATTGCAGTCTCCTGCCCAAAGCAAGGTGGGGATACTCTGCTATTTCCTTCCTGAAAGCTGTCTCTCCTGGCTGTTCCTTTCAGAGAGAACATCCCATCACTACTTAAGGACTCCAAGCCGTGGCTGTCACACGCTTCCCTTGCTGTGCCACCCCAAGGGTGAACTGCCCTTGGAGCTAGAGCTCCACCTTCTGCTCTCAGGCACTAAGTCTTCTCCTTGACAGAAAGACCCTTCTGCTCAGAATCCGGTGCCCCATATCTATGTCTACATCCCCATCCAGGCATCATGTACTTCTAGGGGCAGAATCTGAGTCTACCTGTGTGTCTCCTACATCCTGTTGCTCCAGCCCTTGAGATGTGTTTCTGCCTCGTCCCAACTCACCCCAGCCCACTAGGCAGAGCTTGAGGAGGAAGTGATTGTGGTAGGCATTGAAGACTTCAATCACAAGTCGGTAGAGGTTGTAGCCCTCGATGCCCATCCATGTCAGGCAGCTCAGGAGAGAGAAGTGCAGGAACAGACCCCCAGCTCTGCAGGTTGCCTCGCTGCTGCTGGAAGCCAAGTGCTCCGAGATGAGGAAGTTGATGTCCAGGAGGAAGATGGCACACAGCAGGTTCATGTGGATATGCATGCTTGTGATTTGGTCTCGTTGCTTGCTTCTGGAAAAGGAAGAGGGAGAGATCTCACCACCACACCTCAGCTCAGTGTCCCACAACACCCCAAGGCTCCCAATGGAGTGAGTAATGCACTGTAATCAGAAAAGTCAGGAGAACTTCTCTCTGTTAGTGCTAGGGGCTAAATGCGTAATCCCGCACACGGCAACAACTGTTATATATACAAATGCAGATCCCTCTTGCAGCTCTGTATTGCAGATCATGGTGGGGGGGCATATTTTCAGCCTGTCATCCATGTAGGATTAGTGACACTATTTGAGAGAACACCCTGTTTTCTAACAGACCCTTGAAAAGATCTCTGCAGGCCTCTGTTTGCTGGATCCATTATAATAACTAAGCTGAATTTTCCAAATCATGGAAACCAGTAGATGTTCTAGAGCACCCTCCCAGATGCCTAACAAAGAGGGCTGGTTTCTGGAGATGAGGATTCAGTACCTTCTGCAAACCTGGCTCCCGCATCATGTTTCTAGCTGGGCCACCAACTGTGTTTGGAAAGTTTGCTATTAGACCTACGTGGGGCCAAAGGAAAGAATGCACCCACAGAACGATGCACACATGGAGCATAGGGTGTCCTGTCAGACAGATAAGTCATCTCTGCACTAAGACCCCAGGGTCATACCTGAAATAAAGGAAGAAGATGGTGCAGATGGATGCCAACGCTGAGATAAGACAGCCAATGTACGTTATGATACTCAGGTAAGCCCTGTGTATATAGGTGATCTCTGGGGAGGATACCTGAGGAGAAGGAGGAACAAGAATCATGGTGAGGGAGAAGTTCTGCAGAAGGGAAGGATGCAGAAAGCTGCGGGGAAGCAGAACCCACCATCAGTACAGCGAAGTAGGTGAGGTGGTTGCATCTGCAGTCTGTCCGTTTATCCCCCTTCACTGTTGTACAACCGTAGCTGTTCCAGTTACCAACATTTGCTGCAAGGGAAAGAACTTAATGAGCAGTAGGAATGCAGTGGAAAAGTTTTCTTCAGAGCAAGGTGTCCATGGTAGGGGAGAGACAAAGGTGGGAGTCCTAGCTGGCCCCATGCAGAGCACACAGTGACAAGAACAAATATTTATACAGGATTGCCATGCTCAGAGGCATCAGCACCCATCCCTGGAGAGGGTAAGAGCTCCTAGGTTAACTGTAGAGGAAAAAGCCTGAAATAACCCCTGGGACAACTTTAGAGAGAGTTTCCTGGAATTAGAGAAGGGAAGAGAGGTGCAAATGACCTATACCACTAGCAGGGGCAGTGGAAAGGTGAGAACAGACCACCTAGGTCAGCCCTGTTGGTTCCCCATTGTTGGTACAAAGAACAGCAGAATGAGCAAAGACAACGTCCCACCTCAACACCCAGACACCGAAGCTCCCACACCCGGGTACTCACTTGTTGCATCCTCCTGCCAGAAGACACACAGCGGGGTCACGTTCCTCTGAAATGACAAAAACAGGGCCCCAGTCAGGACACATTTCTGGGTTTGTCACACAAACAGCAAGTTGGGTGGGGCAAAAGATGGGGCAGGAGGTTAAAAGTTTTCAGGAGACAAAGTGGACCATATCATGAATGTCGGCTCAATGCAGAGACCATTCCCTGGTGCATCTGCAAAGTGGCATCTCCTACACACGAGCAGGCAGAGCCGCAGAGAGAGCACAGGATTAAAATGTGATTGTGGTACAGCTCCTGAGAACACCCACTCGATTTTATTAGCAGGCTGAGGGTATGGACATGGAGCCACTAAAGTGTGACCATACTCTGAGCTGGCAGTGTCTGAGTCCTTCTTTTCTTGCCGCTCCATTCCTGGAGTGGACAGGTTTAATGAGGCTGTTTCTTCCACCTACCGGCAGCTGGTTGTGGAAGAAAGTGAGGACCACGGGATCAGAGAGATTGGCCACAACTGTGTCCACCAGGGAGATGCCAACCACCTTGTCACCCAGGACACGACTGCTGTTTTCATCCTGTGGGAGAAGAGGAGAAGACGGTGCAACGTGGGAAAGGAGAGCTGCCAGGCACAAAGGTGGTGAGAGCTCCCAGGAACCCAAAGACAGAGGGGTCCCATGCCTCCTCCCTTGTCACGTCTCTACCTTACACTCGCAGTTCCCAGGTCTCTCTCCTGAACCAGTGGCTCACGCACTGAGACTGAGGTCCACCTGGCAATAGTATCTATTGAATATAGATGTCTGCGCTCCTGCTCACTCCTTCCAGTTCTCAGAGAGGCAAAAGCACTTCCACATTGTGACCATCTATCTCAATCATGGGCCAACAAAACCTCTCCCAACCCACTAGCTCCTTTCTGTCAACTATAAAGCAAAGCCAGATGAATGCCACCCTGACAACAGCATTGGCACCGTGTCTTCTTTTCCCTGCCCTGTTTCTCCATGGCTTAGGACCCGGCTGGAGCCAAGTACATCCCAATCAGCAGTTCCTTTTAATCGGTCTGCCACCACAGCACCCCATGGTTGTCTTCAGCTCAGCATCTTTGCAAGCACCTTCTCCAAGTAAGTGGCTGCCCACCTGGCTTGGGTGCCACAGGCTTAACCTGTTTGAGGCTAGCTGAGGATCTCCAAGAGCTGCAGGAGGAGTTGACGCAAAGGCAAAGCCTTTCCTGGAGGACAGGCTATAGATGCCAAGAGTGGCGAGACAAAGCTAGCAAGGAGACCAGGAGAAGGATGCTCTGCACTTATTTGTGAGAGCAGTTCCTACTCCAGTTGGTTCTGCACTGTTCCCACCGTGCTATACCCAGCCATTACCTGGAACATGGTCTGACTGTTGATATCCATGAGGAGCACCCTGTGCTCCACCATGTCCTCCTTGTCCTTCACCTTCATGAACAGGCTGCTTGGCAGGTCCACCGTGAAGCTATGAACCTCTTTGCCCTCCTGCAGCAAGAAACCCATTGGAGAGCACAGGTTGGGAGGGTGTCTGAGGATGCTGGAGGATGAAGAGTGACAGGACAGGCTGCACAGGAGGTACGGCATCAGCTGGCATAGCATGGCCAGGGATTCCCGGACTACAGCCCTGTCCCCTGCTCCTGCCCTTCCTCCTGTCACAGCCACAGCCCCTCCAGGCCACTTGAGGAGACACTTCTGTGCCCCTTTCTGCTGTTCTCCTGCTAACTCCTTCCCAGCAAGGCCCTGGGAGGGGACAGAAAGGTCTTTCCCAGAGGCTACAAGCCAGACCATCACCTTCCAAAAGGGTCAAGAGCAAGGACAGCTCTGGTAACTGCCTCCATCAAAGCTCCCACAATGGATGTGCTGAGCTATGGGGATCACGGCCGCTGCTCCTCACTCCAAGGACCTCTCAAGGAGCCCAGTTCTGAGTTGTGCTTTCATTCTCTCATGCTCTGCTTCTCAGCTCCCAGACTGAACTCACCTCTCTCTGGGAAGCAAAGGCCATGTCTTGAGGAGCGTGACCAGGTTCGATCCTCAGGACAGTGGCGTGCATGGCAGCCTGCCCAAAAGTTCGGTTCTGCCCTTCAAACTCCACCTTGGCCAGCTTCTTCTCAAACTCCTGCAATTTGCTGTTGGGGAAAAGCAGGGCACAGAGCAAGTAGGAGACAGCAGACACAGGCTTTGCTCTGAAGGCCTCCATCAGCCACACAAGGAAAAAGAGACGTGCACCACAAACAGTCTCAATAAATACTCCCTGCTTTAACAAAGTCATTGCCTGGCCTTCACCAGGTCCCCAGCGGGCTGCATCGAGCCAGTCGGTGACAGGCCATGAGCCTAAGGAGGAGGGTTTGGGAATGGCTTGAGCCAGGAACTCACTTGCGAAAGGTCCTGTGCACCGGGGCTCCCGCAGCCGCTGCAGGGGACCTCCCCATGAGCCTGTCTAGGTCGCTCAGCTCCTTCTCCACGTCTTCCTCCCAGACGGGCATGTTTTCCGGAGTGGCTGGTGAGCGCACAAAAGGAAACTCTGTGAGAAAAGCGTGCAGAACCAGCATCCCCCAGAGCGCGAGCCACCCTTGAGCTGTGGGCTGACTCCCCATGGGACTGAGCCCTGGCACACCACAGACTGCAGAGAGCAGATGGTTTCAGGGTGGCCCTCAGGATTTCTACCCAGAAGAGCAACCAGAGACCAGGACCCAGGCAACTTCTCCTGGTCACCTTGAGCAGCCGGAATGGAGCCCAGTTACAGGAGAGGATATCGAGGCCAGGTGGTCTAAGCTTAGCTAGGTGTCTAGCAGTGCAGATGTGTGTCTTGGAGAGGTCTCCAAGGCTCCCAAGTCCCCTGGATTTTGATGGGCCAAGGGCACTTTGGAAAATCTAAGTAATCATCTGCCTTCATCTTTAGGAACCTGCTTACCCAGGGAAATAGGGGTGTGGGGTCCTGCCTTTAGGCTGCTTCAAGCAAAACCACTTCTATTACTTATCAACCCCGAGCAGTGTCCACAGACCACCGCATGACAACAAATTATCAGTACAACGGAGTTGGTCTGCTGTGGGGCAGAGTGGTTTGGGCATGAATTTCTCTCTTCTTCCATTCAAATAACACTGAGTTGCTTTTACCAGGGAAGAAGAAATCAGGTCTACTCTCAAGTGACGTGTTCTTCGTGCCCTTCATAATATAGGAAACGTTGAAGATAGAGCTGTTGTTCTTTTCAGTCTTCTGGTTTTCTTTGCTCCGTATGTTGTTACAAGACAGGTCTTTTCTCAGGAGAAAGTGCTGCTTTCCATACACAAGTTTGAGGGTCATATTGGGCTTGAACCAGTAGACACAGAAACGGTACCTGCCCAAAGGCAGAGGCAAGTTGTACTTGCAATAAGTGTTTCTGTGGTTGGGCAAGAAGGGCCTTTTTATTATGAGTGCCTGGGCCGTGTTCTCGATGGAGATGGTGGGGGGACCATGCTCATAGATGACAGAGCTGTTCTCTGTTTGGTTTCGTTCACCGCAGAAACGGAAGTCTTCTTGGTGGCTGCGCTCCGCCAGTCCTGCATTGTACAAACCAGGGAAACATTCACCTCAACTGGAGGGTGTCTGGGGTGGCCACCCCATCAAACCAACCCCTGCTGCACCAGCAGTCACATGTGTAACACCTCCGCCACCCTCCTGGCACAGGTTCTCCCCAGACATGCACGACTCCATCCTCGGCTGATGCAAGCGACCTGAGACAGCGCAGTGACTTGCCCATGGTTACACTCAAGAGGTTTCACTGGTGAGTCGAGGCTCCTCAGGACACAGCAGCTCCCCTGCCTCTCTAGGCCCCAACCTCTCCCAGATGCTGGTCCCCAAGGATGACAGAGCCCAATAAAGGAAAGGGGTTCTCCATCTCCGTGGAATCTCTGGAAAGGACCGGACCACCTCCAAACCCCTGCCCTAGAGACCCTGATGGACCAGAAACAAGAAAGGAACTGAAGTTTTCCAGCAAGCCTGTGAAACATTCCTAGAACCCAGGTTTCAACAAACCCTCAGTCCTCCCATTTGGGGCTTCCAATTACTACCAGCATTCCAAACGTGGCCAGGACAGGGCAGGACATGGCTCGGAGCAGCCTACCTGGGAGCGGGGAGAGAAGGAGCAGAAAGAAGAGTGGCATCATGGACGGCTCTCTCCGCTCTGGCACCTACGTGGAAAAAGTGACACCTAGAAAGTCCCAAAGAAAAGGAACTTGTGAGCAACTGATGCCAGAAGCATCCCAAACACAAGCAACGCGGTACGGCAAGAGATCCCTCTTCCTCTCGCTGCTTCAGCGCTGGGTTCAGTGGCTGACTTGTTATCATGGGCAATAGGAACAGAAGGAAATGGCGGTTTCCTACTTCCCTGGGCCTGGATTTGTTTTCACGAGTGTTTTCAGCTCCTAGAGATTAGCTGAGGAGCCAAGCCCATTACCCACCGCTTTGTGGCCAGCAAACAGGGCTGCGCTCACTGATAAATCCCGAGCAGCCGGTGGCAGCACGGGGCAGAGGACTAACAGACCCGGGGTCCCCTGTTTGCAAAGTCAACCCTTTGCTCCTGCAGCATAACATTAGCACAGCTGCTGAGAACATGGCTCGGGCCAGCTCAGTTCACCTCAGACATTGCCGTCAGCACAGGTCAAACGGGTGAGAATGTGTCCCCTGGCCAGGCTGTAGGGGACCGGTGGCCGTGTCCCGGCGCTCGTCGTTGTGACCAATGGCCACTTCCACCCCACGTGCTTCCTCCCCACGAGGGTTGCGGCTCTGCAGAGCTCTCTCTGCTCGGCCCTTGCAGCCCACGCTCGCTCGTGGGGCTGGGAAAGGCAGCCCAGGGTTCCTGTGATGCCAGCGGCTCCTTCCCTCTCCCCTGACCCCTGACAGCCCCGTCTGGCAGTAGGAACCCGGGACAAACTTCTACACCAAGACACGGAGTCACCAGAGGGATGCGGGAAAGGTCTCGGGTGTGGGAAGTCACAGCAAAAGTGGCATGAGATGGGCTCGAACCCCATCAAATCAGGACTTCTGCGGATGGACGGGGAATTTCAGGAATCCCTGGGGGCGGCAGAGGCGAGGGCCAAAATAGGGCCCAGACATGGAGAGCAGGCCCAGAAACAGATGCAGGAAGGATGCGCTCGTGCCCCGTCCCGCAGCGCGGGGATCGGCCGGGCACATGTGCGCTCCTGAAATAGCAGCCCCTAATGCTGCCGGCGGGCGCGGGCCCCGTCTTCATTCTTTGGGTCGGAGTACTTCCAGCCATGGGGAATTGGGCTTTCCCAAAAAAGGCCCCGTCTTCATTCTTGGGGCCGGAGTCATTCCAGTCATATGGAATTGGGCTTTCCCCGTTCCTTGGCCCTAGCGCCAGTCAGCACAGCCCTGAAAGAGCCCTTCGTGCCGCCCGGCCGCGACCTCGACACCACGTAACGCACAGCCGCTTCCTGCACCGAACAATAGCTGCCGAGAAAATCCCCCGAAAAGGGCGTTTCCAATGGGATAACGCTATTCCTCACCCCGTTTCCTTCCCTTTCCTTCCAGGGGGATGCTGCTTCGCTCCCCCCTTGGATTATGCAGCCCTACAGCTCCCTTACTGCCCTGGGCACCATCCTCTTCCTCATCAGCTCCCGACAAGGCCAGCCCTTCTCCCAGGAGCTTCCCGCTTCTTGGGAACCCAGACATCTGCTAAACCTGAGGCAAGCAGGGAGAAATGAAAAACAGTGGATATTTATCATTACCAAGAAATCTTGCAGCCTAGGTGGCAGCAGGTATTTGAGTGCCCAGAGGCCCAGGTTCTCCCGGTATTTCTTTTTGTCCAAGGAGAAGGGAAAACGGTCTCATGTTGTGGACAAATGCCGGAAACGAGGAGACCCAGGGGCTTTCCTCCCATAGTGACGCGGCGCTCGCCAGAGAGCTGGGTCCAGGCGTCGCGACCACATGCCCGGCTCCGTCCCTCTGCCACCGCTGCCCTCCTGGCACCCTTGTCCTCGCTCACGCGGCCACACGGGAAATGTTATTCACCGCCTCGGCATGCGAGCGCGTCCCGGCACCGGCGGCGGCTGCTTCGCGCTGAATTCATGGGTTGGATTTTGCAGGCAGGACCACAAATTAAAAGAAAGCAAGCAGATAAAAAACCCCCACGGGTGCAGCCCAGCTCCTCGCCAGGGCCCGTGTCCTTCATGGGAAAGGAGGACGTGAGGGAGGCGCAGCCGGAGCGGACAGGAGGACACCGCAGCTGCACGGCTGCCGCCTGAGGCTCCGGGTGCCACCACTTTGCTTGGGGCCCTCCCTTGAGCATCTGAAATAAAATTTCCATTTTCTTAAAAACAAAAAACGCAACACCCCCGCCTGCAAACACCTCGGCTACCCAAAGCGGCCAGCGCTGCCTCACTTCCTCCGCGGAGGAAGGGCACCGCGCAGCTCCTCAGCCGCTGCCGTGCCAAGCCAGCCCTGCTCCGGTGAGGAGTGAGTGCCCAGGGGCTCTCGGAGCAGCCTCTCCCAGGAGCCTCCGCACTGGTGCAGGAGCCACGGGGGTGAGGAGGCCGCCAGGAGCCCCCGTATTGATGCAGGAGCCAAGGGGCGAGAAAGCGGCTCCCCGCGGCCCCCAGCTTTCTGGGAAGGATGCCAAGAAGCAAGAAGGCACCTTGCTCCGTCCATGTGAGCTTGGCATCGGGGGCGCCCCTTGGGCACAGGGGGACAGGGACACTCTGGACAGGGGTCAGGGAGCTGCTGGAATGTGACCGAGGTATCCAGATCCACCCTCAATGTGGTTAAGGAAAACGCTCCACCCTAGACAACCAGCAGAGACGGAGCAGGCAGCACCTCCCAAACTGATGTTTTCCATCTCCCACCTCCCCAGCCCTGCTGCCCACTTCCTCCTGCTGCGGGGCTGGGCGCTGGGGGGGTCTGTCACTGATTAATGCCCGGGTTAAACATTAGTGCCTGCGCACCCAAGCTGAACGGCCGCAGACTGCCGTGTGGGCGCCGCCAGCCCCGCGGGCCCGGCGGGCACCGCGCAGTTGCTTGCAAACCTGTTGCTCTGCAAAGGGCAGCCCCCGGCTTGCAGGATTAAGAGCTGGATTGTAACCAACTATGTAATCGTCTTTACTCGGGCCTTGGCCCGACTCGTGTGGGAGCTGTAAACACCGTGGCGGCGGCACAGCAAAAACCCCCAGGCCTGGGATCCCGGTCAGGATCACACTTCAAGGATTGCTTAAGATCCAGGGCCTCAATCTCTCCTAGGCTCATTCTCCAAAGCCACTTCTAGGTGCCAGCTCCTAGGGGAAGCTTCGTCCTGAAGGCCTCACAGTGTGAAATGGGCTCTGGCCGCATTCCCTGCACACAGCGATCCGGCCTCGCTGCCGAGGGGTTATTCCAGGAGACTTAATGCCACTTCTCAGGCTACTCTCTCTGGGGTTGTGCTGCTTCTGCTGGCTTTGAGGGTGGGGGAGGTTCAGCCTGTTTTGCAGCCGTTGTGCACCCTAAACCAGCTCCCTGCGGCCCCCCGTGGCATGCCAGAACTGGCAGGAGCAAACTGAATTTTTTCCTTGAGGAATCCCCCAGGAGGCACTTTTGGCGAGAGCAATCGCCCTGTTGGGACAAGCCTGCCGCCCCGGGGAGGGGGCCGCTGCGCTCTGCGAGGACGGCGGCGCTGCGTGCGCTCCCGGTGCTGGCGCTGCAGCGGGCGCTGCGCAGCGCTCAGCTGTGCCCACGGAGCAGCCGGGAGCAGCTGGCCCTGGCAAGGCACAAGGCAGGGGGATCGGCAACTTCCCAGCCTCTGGAATTCAGCCCAGCTCCAGCAGCAGAGGAGACTGGTGCTAGGGCAGGGAAGAAATAATCTGGTTTAGCCATGAGGGGAAGGAGCCATAGCTACAGGGCAGGCAGCACCCCGGGCTGCAGGTTTCAGCTGCTCCCTGATCCTGACTAGTTAAGCCCAGCAGTGAGTCCCCGGCAGCCTCTGTCGGGTGCTTGGCTCAGGTAGGCAGATGGGAAAGGTCCCAGCACCAGCCTGAAGCACCACAGATTCCCAAACGTCCCATCTATCCCCACTTGGCAGACAGACAACCTGCAGCCCCAGCAGCCTTGCCATGGGCACTGCTCCCAGCGAGTGCCAGATTCCCAGCGCCCTCCCAGCAAGGGGATGGCAGAGAGCACCCCACCACCGGCGATCCCCAAAAGCCAGCGCAGCACCTGCCTTCCAAACCCTGCTGGCAGCAGCTCCTCCAGCCACATCCCTCCCGCTGGGGCCCATTCTGACCCCCAACACCTCCCCC